TATCAAAGTGAAAATAGAACAAGATCCGAAATCTATTAAATCACCAAAGTTACAACAATACCGAGATCCAAGTCCTATCAATACAACACCTAGCCGAGATTCACAGCAACCACAAGACACGCTAGAACACATCGTACAACAACAAGATCCGAGACCTATCGAAGTGAAAATACAGCAAAACCCGAGACCTAACAAAGGGAAAACACAGCAAGATCCGAGACCTATCAAAGTAAAAATACAACAAGATTCGAAATCTACTAAAGCACTGAAGTTACAACAATACCGAGATCCAAGTCCTATCAATACAACACCTAGCCGAGATTTACAGCAACCACAAGACACGCTAGAACACATCGTACAACAACAAGATCCGAGACCTATCGAAGTGAAAATACAGCAAGACCCGAGACCTAACAAAGGGAAAACACAGCAAGATCCGAGACCTATCAAAGTAAAAATACAAGATCCGAAATCTACTAAAGCACCGAAGTTACAACAATACCGAGATTCAAGTCCTATCAATACAACACCTAGCCGAGATTCACAGCAACCACAAGACACGCTAGAACACATCGTACAACAACAAGATCCGAGACCTATCGAAGTGAAAATACAGCAAGACCCGAGACCTAACAAAGGGAAAAAACAGCAAGATCCGAGACCTATCAAAGTACAAAAGTTACAACAACTACAAGGTACACAAAAGCAAATAGTACAACAGCAAATAAAATTTATTGAAACACAACAAGGCCAACAGGAACAATTACCATACCAAATTAAGGAACGTTGTCTCGAAACAGATGACAAAGTCAGCACAAAAAACCAGCAACGGCAAACGAAAATTTGTTGTACAACCCAACCGGAGAACGATCAGATTGTCACCACGGCCCAAGACGAATTTTATAAAATATTCAAAACTCCGAAGAAACGTTACAGAAGCCAAACACTATAATTTACGACCCAGAGCATGGAAACCACAGATTGGCGATATGGTTTTAGTCAAACACATCCACTATCCAACGCTCAGGCTCATTTTGCTGCAAAACTAGCCCCAGAACCACCGCAGAACTTTGGGAACGGATACAGAGGGACGCTCAAAAGTTAAAACGGGGCCGTCGCCATGTTTTTATGTGCAAAATCAGGAAAAAAAACATAAGGTGCTCATAGCAAATTCTGGTGCCATTCGGGTCGTTCCCCCTTTCCAATGAAGGGAGGGAGTGTGACGAGTTTTAGAATCTCGTCACAAACAAACAACAAGAAAATAAAATAAAAAAAAAAAAAAAAAAAACAACAATAGAATTAAGGTATTTTTAGTTAAATATAATTTGTTTATTATTAGTTAAGTTACACATAAAATAAAATATTAGTATAAGGTAGTAATAAAAATTAAGGTATGAATAAGTTTAAAATTAAGGTATTATTAAGTTAGTATATAAAATCAGTATCATTAAGTTAATATTAATTTAATAAAAATTAAAAGCAATTCCTTTTAAAATATAAATTAAGTAATAACACACCTTTTTGTTTGAGGGTAACTATTTTGTAAAATTTTAACAAATGTGCAGCAACAGTAAGCATACCAGACGCAGACACTTAGAATGGACAATAACAAAGCTGTACAAAGTGCACTCAACAATTAGAAGTCCCGTTTCCAAAATCCGTATAAAAGGAGAAGCAAAGTAAAACACAGAGACTTGGCCACAGCATTTCGAGCAGTGCACATCACCAGAGAGACTTGGCCACAGCATTTCGAGCAGTGCACATCACCAGAGAGACTTGGCCACAGCACTTCGAACAGTGCACATCACCAGAGACTCTATGGCAGGCCACGAAGCAGAACACTTGACAGAGCCAGAGCAAGTGTATAAACAGGTAATTAAAAATATTTAAATAACATTTTCCTAGTCCATCAGTGTAGCCCTATCGGTAACACTGTTCCTAAGCAACGCAGCCTTGTCGGTAGCGTTGGTTCCAAGCCCATCAGTGTAGCCCTATCGGTAACACTGCTCCTAAGCAACGCAGCCTTGTCGGTAGCGTTGGTTCCAAGCCCATCAGTGTAGCCCTATCGGTAACACTGCTCCTAAGCAACGCAGCCTTGTCGGTAGCGTTGGTTCCAAGCTCATCAGTGTAGCCCTATCGGTAACACTGCTCCTAAGCAACGCAGCCTTGTCGGTAGCGTTGGTTCCAAGTTCATCAGTGTAGCCCTATCGGTAACACTGTTCCTTAGCAACGCAGCCTTGTCGGTAGCGTTGGTTCCAAGCTCATCAGTGTAGCCCAATCGGTAACGCTGTTCCTAAGCAACACAGCCTTGTCGGTAGTGTTGGTTCCAAATCCACCATTAATTAAAATTTCTTATTATAATTCTTAATATGTATTATATATTAGCAAATAAGTTATAAATATTGTAAAATAAATTCCGAAAAAAAAAAATAATAAAGAAATTAAAAAACAATTAAGTGGCTTGAAAATTATTATTCGAACGATTCAGGGTTACAGAGAAAAAAAATATTCTTGTAACGACTCTGGGATCCGGCGAGAAAAACCCCGGCTTGAGAAAAAAAAAAGGTTCATTACAGTACTAAAAACACCAGAACGTAATTTATTTCTTTTATCAACTTAATTATTATTTATTGAACCCAATATAGTGTCCCAATTCTATACCAACAGCTCGTTTTAAATGTGCACAGAAGCATGTATATTTCAATATTAATAGTACCGTTTACTTTAATCGAGTAGTGATATTAATCGTACTATAAGAAGGAAACTCATTCTTCTATATATATAACCTATTAAAGGAACTTTTCAGTTATAAATTATTATATTAAGCCTTGGGATCGCAACAAATTATTCATTTATCCCTTATATTGCAAATATTCCGAATACGAGTGGTTTGTAGACGTCCTATTTACATATTTTTTTCAACTATAAATTGATGGTAAATTGAAATTCGATTACCTTAATTTATTTAAATAAAAATTTTAAAATATTGTATTTAATCTACCATATATTTATGGTTCTTATTTTCCGGTTTTTCCGATCGAAACCCAAAATCGATAATGAATTGAAATTTTTGTCTTTATCTCTGTTATTGAAACAAATACACCAGCAGAAGTTCTTAGTTGACTTATCAAGCCAAGAACAACACGACTCGTATATATATGAGCTGCAGTACTGCTTTATTTTGTTATCAGGTGCAGTTTATTTACTTTAATAAATTTCTAACTTATTGAGATGGAACGCAAATTTAAACACATCTCTTATTTTACAAAGTACATCCTATGAGCTCGTATATTGTATATAATCTAATTAACATATATATAAATCTTTTATGTTGGATAAGGGGTACGTTTCTTCTCATTCTATAACGCAATATGTTAATATGTACGTATTTATGTGGAATAGAATATTATACTATAGCCATTATATACATAAATTACATATACATATGTATATGTAAAGTAGGAAGATTTTCTCAACCCGTTGTATTATTCCAAGCTCACCAATATTATATTAATTGAATTATGCGTTTACGTCATTGGAATTTGGAATAATTTCGCATATTAACATACGAGTTTTAGACAAAACTCAGGAAAAAGAAACATTTCGTTTACCAGGAATAATTTAAGCTGTATTAGCTATTGGATAATTAGGATTTTTTGAATGAGTTCATTATACTCGTATATTGACCATAGAAATGAATGTAGTTACCAAACCTTATTTCACATCAGCTACAATAATTGTTGTTGTACCAATAGCAATTCAAGTTTTAGTTAAGTAATAATAATAATTCATCCCTCAAAACTAAAACTAACTTAACTAACTCCAACTACTATATGAACCTTTTTATTCTTATTAATATTAGAAAAATTGACTGGAACTGCTTAATAGGACTAGACTTTCGATAGCGAATCAATGCATCTAAATAAATTTGTTATTAATAATTATAGTAAATATGTCACATTTAATTTAATAATTAATTCTGTTATTTTCAAAAGACAATTATTAAAAAATCATATAAATCTTATATAAAACGCAAAAGAAAAAAATTAAAATTACAGTTTGAGAAGAGGGGTGATGTATGATACTTCTGATAGATCATCCACCCAAGAAAGAAAAAACTGTTGAAATAATTCAAAAGCGACAAATTATATCAAACTCTTGTGTTATGCTAACGTTTACAGTACAAATAGGTACAATTTAATTTAATGAGAATGAATTCTCACGAAAATAACTATACGCAAATTTATATACATTTTTTGCTTTTACCAACATCAGTTATTCCTTCAATATCTTCAATGAAATCTGATATTTCGTGATGTTTGCTCATAAAATTTATGCATTAAGTTACCGATTCTGATCACATATTCGATCTAGCTTAGTCTTTAGATTTCAGTTGCTTCTTCATCGCTTGACAAAATCTCAATTTTATATAATTTTAATAATTTACTTTCATTTACTTTTCATATAGATTTTTTGATTTTCAATACCAATACCATTTAAATACCAGCTTTGGTTTTCTAGACGAATTATTAGACGAAAATCTTTTAAATAGAAAATTCAGACTAAGTTCTGAGGAATACTATCTGTTAGTTGTTTGATTTGGTTGTATTATCACATTTTTGTAATATTTTTATGCCATAACACTTAGATCAAATATGTCAAGTTTATAACACCTTGGAATGTGTGATCGCCAGCGTTAAAACTCTGTGGGGCATGTGTTATCCTTATATGTACTTGAAAGTACCACGTATATTGTTATTCATTTGTTGATTTTTCGATCAATTGTTAAACTTATAACTTTCGGTCAAGGATATATGTTGTTTTTAACTTGAACGCCTCTTGTTTTACGATTTTCCTCACAAATCTCATGCCAGAGTTTTTAAGATTAAAATCAAATTACACTTCTTTTAACACTTCCAAACTTGATGATATAGTTTATTAATATTTTTTTAATTATTCTTCCAATAAAATAAATAAAACCCAACACAGAATCCAAATGTGATTGCTAACGAAAAAAGTTGTGGGAAAATCTAATCACACGTTCGCCGTGCAAGAGTTTACCTTTGCTCTTGAAGTGATGTTATGTTAGTGATACTCTAATCTATTATTGCAATGAACCTGAAATACGAACGTAAGAACGTACGAACAAACGAACAAAATTTATAATTTTATTCAGATTATACTTTAATACAAAAGCCGCCTGCACTCCTCTTCAGCTTATTTGCGAGCTTATCGCGTATTTTTGAAAACTTTGTTTTACCCATGACTAACACACGCCGCACATTCTTATTCTCACACAGTTTGGTTTTACGCCAGAGCAAAAGCGTAATTTTACTAGATACTTAGTTCGTGCATAAATGCGTCTGAGCAGATACATTCCACAGCAGAAACCTTAGTGCGCTCAAACCGAAACTTGCCTTAATCCAACGAGTTTCGCAGCTTTCAATCAGTGCTCAGTGTTCGCGTCGATCGGGCGCTTCACGCTTAGTAGGAAATTTCATGAAGACAGTGATCGCGTATAATTCTAAATTCTAAATTCTTTTTAAATCTTTTTTTGAATTAATTTTATAAATTCATAATTAATTTGAATACTACCTTGTGTTTTGATTAAAGTGTGCAATTTAAGTATTTTGTGTTTCATCTTATTTTAACGAAGATGCTTCGATTGCTGCGTTTGCCTTTGTTAATTGTCACGACTGCGTTTCTGTGGGATTTACCCGTCATTTTCGCACAACTGCCACCGATAGAATGTCCCCAATACTTTAGGTACCTGCGGTCAAATAATGAAAATTTCGGTTTAGTTACACTTCCGAACAGTCTATACACTGGAGGACGTCTCAACGTAAACGTAAAACTCTCTCAGCGTGAAATATTTAACGGCGTAAGTAGACTTTTGATTGACGATTTCAATTAAAAAATTTATAAATTTATAAATCAAAAGTATAAATTTATTGTTATCGAAGATTTAAATAACTGAAAACTTTATCTATTTATATACATTTGATACTAATGACGATCTTGATAATGACGATTGGTGATTATTGAATTGATTGCCGTGAGTTGTCAAGTAACTTAAGTCAACATCTAAGATTACATATTGAAATAACCGCTTCTTTCACTGAAAGAACAAAGAACCAAAAATATCATATTTTGAACATTCTTTATTAGAATTTTTTCCAATAAATAGTATTCATTCGTTTCTGCTGGTTTTTCCGATTTTTTTCGCATCCATAATGGAATCTCGGTATTATCAGCGCTGTAATTATAATCTAAGCGACATACAACAAACATAGTATGTTCTGGCGAGTTGCTTACGTTAAGCGCTGCGGGGTCAGATATTTTAATTATTATATATGAAACCGCAGCAATCATTATCATCAATACTTGTTTTACTCGTCTCTCCTTCTTACCCAATCCTAACTTAGTTAGTATTTTCATTTATCAATTTTTCATAATTTGAAATTAATTTTATTATTTTGTTGAGATTTATTTGTGCACACGTAAATGACTTCATTAGTTTCTTGCTGACAATCTGCGATGAGTAAAAATTCCCATCTCGTCTTTGTATCCAATCAGTTGTAATAAAATGCGATGTCTTTAAATATCAATTCTATTTTAGAGAAATTTTGGACTTGCGCTCTACGAAAGCCTTGACAGATCAGTGCAGAATATCCAAAACGGAGAAAGTGTTCAATACAGATTCAACTTTCCAACACAGAGTGAGATTCCGAAACTCACTGGCATTGTCGTAAATGGGGAAACAATTTGCTCCGGCAGTGGATGTAAGTCAACTCAGAAACCAATTAAGTAAGTCACTATAACTAATTACTGATTTGATTCTTGCTTAGATTCGCCTCCCAATATAAATTTTAATGCCGAACACACAATATCATATCCATCGGGAAGAAGACCGGTTGCTACAGCGCCTAACCCGCCACCGAGTTCAAGCGTTGGTTCAAGCGGTGGTTCAAATTATGGTTCTTCAGGTAGTTGCGCCAGTTACTTCAAATATGAAAGGGCGAACAATGAGAATTATGGTGTGATAACCCTGCCGAATCAACTTTTCACCGGCGGCAAACTAAGGGTAGAAGGGAAGCTAATACAGAATAACATCTTCAATCATGTAAATATGAATTGCTATGAAACTCATGGCTATTATTATTTATCCATGAGTTCTATCTTTTTCACTTATTTTATTATTTTTCGAAATGTGATTATTTACGTTTGTTTTCATGTTTGCAGAGAAACTTTGGAGTTTCCTTATACAAAAGCCTGGATGATTCAGTGCGTGACATAAATAATGGTCGACCTGTTATGTATCGCTTCAAATTTCCTGAACAAAACGAACTGCCTAGAATTCAGGAAATCAATGTAAACAACAACCGAATTTGCAATTCTGGTGGTGGTAAATATTTTCCTTCAACATATGTATTAGTCATATGTTAAAATTACTGATTCTATCTAGATTCGTCCGGAAGCATGAGATTCAGTGCGGAGCATACCATTAGCTGGACTGATTCAGGCAGACGTCCTTCAGTTCCGTCACCAGTACCATCACCAGTGCCAGCACCTCCAGCACCACCCCCACAACCAATAATACCTGAAATTCCTGACGATCTTAACAATATATGTGGACGCAAAATTGGTCAACTTACCCCTTTCATACATCATGGCAGAGAAGCCAAGCCGGGCCAGTTCCCTTGGTTGGCAGCTGTCTTTCACAGAGAAGCAGATGGTCCCCATTTCATATGTGGTGGATCACTTATCTCTGCGCGTACAGTTATTACTGCAGCACATTGCTTTTTACTTCAACATATAGACAAAAATGCTGCATTTATAGAACTGGGAAGCTACAATCGCACTGATTCAAGGGACACTGCAATAGCAGTGAGAATAGACAATATTGTAACTCATCCCAATTATAATGAAAAACAGTTACCAGATGCAGATATCGCTGTGGTGCATTTAAGTACAACAATACGGTAAGCCATTAAGCACATATAATATAAAATATATACCGCAGAAACACTCGTATAGCTATACTATATCTAATGTATTTTCTTATTGTGTTCGATTATACAGATTTAATGATAATATTAGTCCAATTTGCTTGTGGACCGAGAAAGTTGATTTATTTTATATAAAAGACCAAGAAGGTATAGTTGCTGGCTGGGGATCATTGGAAAACAATGTACTAACCTCGCCAACACCTAGATACGTTTCTGCCCGAATCGTTGATAATGATGAATGCGTTCAGTCAGCAGATGGATTCAGAAAAATGACAACTAGGAACACACTATGTGCGGGGAATAGAGACAACAGTGGACCTTGCAGTGGTGATTCCGGTTCGGGTCTCATACTACGCAGAGACAATCATTGGACGTTGAGAGCAATTGTATCGTTAGGCCAAACAGTGCTGGGTAGATGTAATCTTAATCAGTTTGTTATATATACTGATGTGGCAAAACACATTACGTGGGTGCGAACCAATATACTCTATTAATTTGTCCTAACTATAGATTCAACTTTATAGATATGTAATTAAAATTTTAAGTTTTATATTAAAGCTAGTACAAAATTCTAAAAAACTCGCCAAATTGACATGAACATGCTTAAATTTTTGTGAACACTTTTATACATCAACTAAATTAAGAATAAAACTGAAACAAAAATCATTTAGATTAGTTTAGTTTAATAAATAAGCTCTTATGATTAATCCTAAAAACAATAAATATAATAATTTTTAATAACAGTGGATGGAGCATTATTGAAATTAATTATTCATATCTCATTAATAGTGTTAATAGAAGTAACAATATTGTACAGCACTTTCTATACTTATGTAACCCCCATTATAGCAGTATTACCAATGACAACCAAAATTTAACCCACGTAAAAATATGTCCAGCCAGACTTAGGCTACAGAATAAGCACTACTCTTAGCTTAAAATGGCCGCTGTGCTTGTCTCATTCGTTACGGCTGAGCAAGAGTTTAGACAATTTGATAATCTTTTTATTATTTAACTTTCTGTTTACACTTAGCGCTGAAGAATATTTGCTATAAACACTTATCATGACGAGATGAGATAATAAGATGCGCATTTAATAATCCGGTTTAAACAGTAAAAAATTCAGCTTCTCAGATGTGCAAATGCCTAATTTGAATATCGTAAATTTAAGCCCAATAAAAAATTTTTTTTCAATAGATAATTGAAATGTAAATGACATATGCCATTGATGTGACATTCTTCTGAAATTTTTAATTATTTGCGTATTGTGAATCAACACAGCTTCCACATGCCGACATGCGAGGGCTAAACAAACATCCAAACATAAACATAATAAATAATATTAATAAATAATGAAAAATAATTTAGAATAAAATAATATAAAAAATTTATAAATAAAATTTTTCTTTTTTCGAAAAAACTACTCCTCTCAATTGCAGAAAAGAATTATGTGCGCATAATTAGACGCCGTTCAGTCTAACATTGCCGCCGTCAATTGCTACGGTCAATTCACACATTTACACATACATAAGTACGTGCAAATAATAATTGCGCCAGAAGCCTACTGAACCACTAAACTACTTTCGAAGCTATGCAAGTGCCGGCATTTTTAAGCAGAGCATAAAGACAACAGAGTACAACAGGTGATTGCACGCAAATGATTCGGACATGCGAACTGAGAGCAAATGACGAGAGAGAAAGCTCCGTGTTTTGTTTTGTCTTTTTTGTATG